TTTTTTTTTTTTTCTCTATTTCATGTTCTTAATTTGCATAGATCACATTATTAAAGGTGCTAAATAAATCGTACACACTTTGATCAGTATATTTAAGGATTTTTGTATATCTTTTTAAGTTGGTTATACTTCACTCCACATTATGTTAATTTCTCTTCTTATCAATTAATAATTAATACATATACATAAACATGTAAATTTTATGCGAGCATAATGCATTATAATGTAATTTGTAGTGATTATTTAATAAATTAATAAAATTAGAAAATAATATGCTAGAAATATTCTTTTATAGGGGAATTATCTATGAATGAGTTGAAGTTGTTCACACTATTGTGAAACTGTAAAATAGTGAGATTTTATTGCAAAAGTTATAAAAATTGAGTTTCTAGTTGGACATGCTCTAATTTAACTTGTAAGGCTCGTTAATAAGCCAAAACCAAGCTTGTTTGTAGGCTTTTCGACTCAACGGCTCAGCTTGATAAGGGCTACAGTCCGAGTATCAAGAATTTAAGATTCAATTTAAGTATTGCATTGAGTCGCTTTGTTAACTCAAGAATGTCTGTGTAGTGAAAATGGGAGAGAAGGAAAACTTTACAAAAGCTCAGCTAATTTGAAGGATATCAATTTGAATCAATCTTGTAACGAGAGTTGTTAGCAAATACACTTTTTTTTCTTTAATACTACTGTCATAATTTTTCATGTATACTTAATTTATACAACAATTTTCAGTAGCTTATTCTAACTAAAAACATCTCCCACTGCGTGTATGACATTTTTTAGCTACAAGAGAATGGGCAAATTTTCAGCAAAAATAATTTATGCTTAAACCATTTACACATATAATTTCCAGAAAAAGTCCAACTTGAGAAGCACTTTCTTCACTTAAAATACAATTTTTTTAGGGTTTCCCCATATTGCCCTTACTCCGAGTCAGATTCCATGTTTCCCATAGCCTTAATCCCTCGTGGTCTCTGAAAATCATGATCCAATAATTAGAGTTTAGTTTTTATTTAACTAATGAAAAATGATATAATAGTTAGATAAGAATTAAAATAATTGTTATAATTGAAAATACTATGAAAATCAGGATGATGTTTTATGTTCTTAGACTAATTAATTATATATCAATTCATGTTCTGTTAGATGAATGACACGTGTCCATGATGACTATGATTGCGCAAGTGTCGACCATCCCATGAAATGAAAAAGAGAATAAAATATGATTTTAAAACAATAATACTTTTCCTATGAAAATCAAGTACCTTCTTGGAAACTTTCTTCTCTCGAACCTCGTATCGTTCAAGTGTTAAATCGCATAGCCATGCACCTGGACTCACCAACTGCACAACCCAAATAAATGATGTGTAATTAGGTTTCCGTATATATTTGCATTTGATTACGATCTAATGTATGTTTGTGTAGACGTCCTGTTAAGTGGGTCAACCCGTCATACTTTTCACATGAAATTGCACATTCATGCTATCAAATATAACATTCTATTTGTATTTTATTTCTTTTAGAATATAACATTTTAATAAGAAAGTATGCTAATGTTTAAGAAAAAGTATGGTGGTTTTAACTTTTCTATCGCCTCTAGGCTCTAACACATAACAAAATTTTAAAAATGATTTATTTTTTTAATGTGGTATGAGACTACGCTGTCTCCACAAAACAAATAAAGGAGCCCCACTAGCATGTGCGGGTACATGACATGTTCACCTGAAAAAAAATATATATATTTTGTAGAAATGGACAACAATAATGATAAAACAATATAGTAAAAAGAATAAAATATAAATAAACCCATAACGCGAGATATTTTTTTTTTTTCAAATATAATATTAATTAATGGTTATGGGACCAAAAGTCTATACAGAAACGGACACGTACAAACCACGCCCATTAATGTCACACCTCATCTCTTTTTTATTTTCTCATTTTCTAATTATATTACTCACTCAAATATCATAGAATGGTGATCTATAAAAATTAAAAAAAAAAAATATTATTATTGTCCACCGATTTTCTAAAAAAATAAATAAAGCTTCAAGTCTATCAACAGACATGGTCGAAAATCCCTTTACAGCACAGAAATGAACCAGACATGATATCCAAAATAAAGGATTAGAAGATAAAGAAAATGCTATGATCTCGTTACGGAACCATTTTGTCAGAGTTTATAACTGTTAGATTAACTATTCACAACATTACATGATGAGCTAACGGGTCCAACGAAATGATTCTGTAACGAGACGTAACATCTCCCATATAGATAAATATCAAATGGACAACTACTTGTTTGGGATGGATATTTCTAACCACCAAATAAATCACAATTAATCTCTTAAAAATCATACTTTTTTTTTTATTATTATTTTGACACATTTGAATTTTCTATTTCAAAAATTAACATTGCAAAACAAACACAAATCTCTATAGTTACATTCACAAACCAAGACCAGACATATCTTTTAATAACTTCTTTTTTTCCTATCTCATAATTATGCTCCATAATGATCACATTTGCAGTTCATTGCAGCTGGCTAGATTCCATATGTTTCATTAAACATACCTAATTAGCCAAAAGGGCCACCACTTATATTTTCCAATCAATTAAATAATAAGAAATCGAATAAAATGATTCATTACACGTATTTATAGATAAAATTTCGATCAATAAAATATTTTTGACAAATTAAGGAAATGGAAAGCTTACATTGAGGGTGCGCTGAATAAATTTGGCCCTCTTCTTAGGTCTTTGAGGCAGCTTTGACCCTTTGATCGCCAGAAAATCCTCTTCCTTCTCCTTATTCGTCAGGGCAATAGCAAACTGTGGCCAGATGGCGGCGGCAGCCGTCTCCGACGACCCACCTCCGGCGGCGGCGTGGTGGTGGTTGCCATTATTTTGGTGGTGATTGTAGAAATTATTGTTCTTGATGTTGCTATTGTTGTTATTATTATTATTATTATTATTATTGGTGTTGGTATTTATGGATGAGGACAAGTCCCTCACTCCATTGCTGTGTCCCTTCATAGCAATTGAAACCTCTGAATTCCTAAACAACAACAAATAAATAAATAAATAAAATAACAAGAATTGATCAGATTCAGAACATAAGCATCATAAACAGATCTATCAAGAAAATTGACAAGATAAAAAAAAAAGTAAAATAAAAAATAATTTACCGGGAAAAGTTGGAGAATTTCGTGGGAAGTGGGGTGAAATTACGGGAAAGCCCTTGGGGAGTATGAAATTTTGGATCGTAGAATGGGGTTAGTGGTGTTGCGTAGATCTGTTAAAAAGAGGTGTTGTTGAGTGGTTCTAATTTCATTTGTTTGGGGTCAGCTTTAGTTTTTAAAGGGATATAATAATATTGAGTGCGTGTTGGCTTTTGTGTTTTTAGCCTAACATTTAGGAGGGTGCACCCGTAATTTTGGGCCGTTGGATTGGGAATTCATCACTACCCTCTATTACCAGATTGTTTACGTGTCCTAATCAGCCTACATTTATACTGTTGTGGGTGGATTTAAATTCTAACATAACAATCAAACAAAGGTAAGAAATTTGAGATTCATGGGTTAAATAAGGAAAATGGAAAAACAAATAATAATAATAGTAACACAAAAAAAAAAAATTAAAGATAAGTGAACTAGTTTAAGGCTCGTTTAGTTCGACAGTCAAATTCGGATCTACAGCAAAAATAACAAGAGGAGTTCGCACAAATGGTAAGCAACTTGATATCGCTTAAACAAGGCCTCGGTTTCGAGTCTTTATGGATGCAAAAAACCCTTGTTGAGAAACTCAACAACCATTGCCAGGTGTGCGACCTCGGTCGACCAACGGATTAGTCGGAGCATAGCTCCGAATACTGTGGCCAGCTTAAAAAAAAAAAAAAAAGATCTACAACAAAAATAGTGGCAGAAATTACCACTGAATTTTGGTTGATAATAATTTTAAGTAACACGTAATTATTTTATTTTCTTACAGCAAGAGACATTCGTAACATAGATACCAACTGAAATTAAGAAACTCGACTCAAAAAACACCACAACATAACATTTTTCAGTTACTGCCAGGAAAGAAAAATTGGAAAATGAATCCATCAAAATATTTTTCCAATTACTAAATGAACAAAAAATCACATAAAGTAACAAAAAAATATATACAAGAAATTCAAAAACACAGATTACCTCAAAATTCGTCGAGAGGGAGAAGCTGGACGTTGACGGAGGTTCAGATGGCCACCGCTGCTCCTATTTGTCATAGGGTCCTTGCCCGCGTTATTATACGTATCGGATCTAACTGCCCGCCGGTCTACGCGAGCCGTCGCGCGCCGAACCGTTCTCGAACCGCTCGGGTCGTTGCTGGTACTGTGGTCCTTACCGTGGACCTTCATGCAGCGCAACCCTTTCCGGCTGCCCCACTGCAAATCGAATTGCGAAGGCGACGACGTCGTAGCGGCTGACCTGGATTCGGATCTCGACAGCAACCCGTTGTTATTTGTGGAGTTGGTATTCATCCTGTCCATCTCGCTTTTTGTGCACCTGTAGAAGACACCGTCA